TGTCTTACCTGACCGCTTGCTCGTGATGGTCGGCATTGCAATGTGAATCTAAGTACCTTGTATGGCTATTGGTAGAATATTACTTGCTTATTGAACTAACATTTAATAAAGCTTTTAGAACTTTGAAGTGACTTATGTTTTATGGTGTGTCTGCCTCCCATGTTTAAAGTGGTTTTTCCCTGACAATCTGTAATTCAACATTTTACCTCTTCTGTCAGGAAGAAGAATCACGGTCTAATATGAGGAATCCCTTCCACTTTTGGAAGGCAGGATCTACTGCAGCTCATTAGTTTGGATAGGAACAGACCAAATTTTGGAATCATCTAAAAAAAAAGGTTTTAAAAAAATGTACTTGAATGACTTATCAACTGTATTTTTAGGAAATCATATGACTTCTAAAAATAAAATCAGAATAGAGGGTATTAGGCAAAAAGCAATCCAAAGATTTAAAGTACAGATTTAAAATCCATTGGTTTCTTGCATGGTCTGACTCATGGTAACTGCAGGTAAATTTATCAGAGAAGAAGAGTGGATTGAAACGGAATTTCTACAGCATAACATCTTGTGCCATAATGGAATTCCTGTTTCTGAAGGTCTTTTCTTCATCAAAAGAAGATCAATTTTCCCTTTTGGAATCTTGGACAAAGCTGTGGGCTGAATTTCTCACAGCTGACTTAAATGTGGAGTACACTCTTTATTTTTATTAAAAACATTTACATATGTTTTAATTAATAAGCCTGAATCAATCATAACTGCAGGATGAAGGCTTCTTCACTGAAACAATAATTTTTAAGTTTAAATTATACATATATTAGATAAACAGAGGATTAAAATATGAGAAATAGAATAAAAGCAATCCATAAAATTGACAAATATTAGGGGGAGTTAGCAGCAGGGGGAGGCCAAAATAGGGGGAAAAAATTTAAAAGATGCCTAAAATGCATCAGTATTAAGATCTTGTTGAACTAATTCCTTGCAATGAGTTGTATATGCAGAAATAATAATCTAATAATAATTATGGCAGGCCATAAATACTGTAAATAAAACACTCCAGTACTCTATTTCTGGAAGATGAGAATAACATGGGAAGCACTGCCTCTCTGTGCATATCCAATTAAGTCTACTGCCAATACAGCCTTAATAGAAAATTGATTTTTTAGAAGGATCAAGTGAAGAAAAAAGGGAAAAGGCTATTTCCTTTCATAAGCTGTAGGAGATCTCCCAGTTGAAAAACCCTTCTAATCATTAATTCTGTTTATTTAATTATCTCCTCTTTTATATCTAGAGCTGCAGTGAAGACCCTGACAGTGATTCTCTACAATTTCTCTTTTATCTCAGACAGTGTCCATGATTCTTGGAGATTTGCCCTTTAAAAGTCCAATTAACCATGAATAAATCAGCAGTAGCCATCCCACAGCACTATTGCATCTTTGTCAGCATTTCATAGGACTGTATTGATTTTGAACCAATAGAAGGAGCAGCATGCTCACCAGGTTCTTTTTCATGTCCTAAATATTCAGTGTTCCCTCTAGAAAATTGCTCTAACAAAAAATAGCACATGGACTCCCTGCCCTTTAAAATAAGAATTTTATTATTATAAAAAACATGAAAAAATACATAATTGGGAAACAAAGAAAGTTGTAGATAGTACACAACTATCAGCATTTATAAAAGTGGATATTCATCCAACCATTCACTAGGATCCCAATAAATTAAAAACACTGAGAGAGTGAGAGAGGGAAGGTAGGGGACAGCAGGTAGAGCGCAAAATCTTCCTCAAACCACTTTCATGTTTGGACTGCCACGATAGAAACATATTTATTGCTATGGCTTGAAACACAAAATTCAGATGGATAGTACAGCTTGATGTGGACCAAGCTCAAGTGTGTTGGAAATAACAATTCAGAATTGCCCATGCCAATAAAGAATCGGTGCTTAAAGGAATATACGTCACTGGGTTTGTGCACATACATTGACAATGGATACATCTGTGAAGTTCTAAAGAGTTCAGCATATTCCAAGATGCTCATAACAACGGCTTAGCCAGAAATCCAAAGAAATAAGCTAAAAACCATAGGAAAACTGTCCTCAATCAATTTTTACAAGTTATTTCTTTTACAAAGTCCGAACACAGCCAGCACCTTGGATAGTACTCTGTCTGAACGTTAAATCAAATCCTGCAGAATGGCTTTTGAAGTGACTGCTCTGCAAAAGGGGAGCTTATGATGCAGCACTTGCTTACGTTTGCAGAAATGTCAAATGCAATGCCTTCAAAGTCACAGCCATGACTGGGTGGGGAGTGAATGTAAAATCACCTTTTTGACACCTTTTGTAAGAACCACTAAAACATGGATGGACCGCCTTTTCAGGTCTGAGGTGCTCCACCCAACTTGGTACTAGATCATGCGGAAAAAGAGGGAGCGCTGCGGAGGTCTAGGAAAGAAGGAAGGGAAGGAAAAGGAATAACATTGCCCACCTGCTCCCAGCAACCCTGATGCAAGTTGGTTTCTGCTGCTATTACAAGTAGGGCACCACAATCTGTTCCCAGCTGACCAGAAGGAAAGATGGTGGGGCTCCAAAGGAATGCAGCTAGAGCGTGAAGCGTTGTAGCAAACCTTTCAAATCTCTACAGAAAGCCTGATTTTTTTCACCATGATTGGATAATGGTTGATTATTTGATAAACCTGAAGGACACAAATGTTACAAAAGGACAGAAAGAAGGCAAACCTGGAATTACTAGTAGACATTTGGATGATTTACAAAAGACTGGGAATGAGGTCTTGCTTTCAACAGTTTATCAATAATAATAATAACAACAACAACAACAACAACCCTGAGTGTTTAAAAAAACAATTTGCCTAAGTATTGTACATTTGTAAAATATGAATATTATCAAAAAAAAATTTTGTGCACCCTTACTAACCACTTTGATTGTCTTGTGTTAGGAGAATCCCTGAAATATAACAATTTTGATGGAAATCTAAATAAAACTATCTGACCTAGCTACATAATTCACACATTCAAACTATCAATGAAGGTTACTTTAATTACCTCTGGAATCTACCCATGATATACTAAGAACTATAATTACAGACTTTCAATTTCAAAATCCTTTCCTCCTAATTAGTTATATTGCTCTACAGTTATATATTCTTCCTTTATATTGCTTATACTTTTCAATTTTTATTTTTAAGCAATACTTTATATAAAAAAAGAAAAGGAAAAAAGATAATCAACTAAATCTTCATTGTGTCCAGCTGAAATGGCACATAGCTTCACAATACAGGAAATTCTATTAAGCTCTTCAATAAAGGACCAGATATTATATACTCAGTTCTTTTTGTCTATCTCTTTATAAAAGCCCAGTTAAATCAAGACTCAGTTCAACCATTTCAGCTCCCAATCTGTAGTTAATAAATAGTGCAAAGAGTTATGTAAGAGCAATTCAAATGAATCCCCTTTTTCTTTGGCTTAAGTATCTACATAGCTTATTGACAACATGAAAGTTATTTCATTTATTTATACACACATACACACACACACATAAATGGATTTTAGATTGCATCAATGAAATGTTACTTGGAGAAGGTGCACATTGTAGGAGAAATGTCCTGTGTTAGTCTCTGGTGGCCAAGAATCAGGAGGAATCTGGTAGCACCTTTTCCAGCTAACACATTTTATTAAAAGGCAGAAGCTTTCCTGAGCTGCAGCTCACTTCATCAAACGCAGGTGGCGGCATTCCAGACTCCATGTTCAGAAAACTGATAGAAATAAAATATGCAAATTTCAAATATTCCTCATAATTTGCATACTCTAATTCGTTTTTTTCAGACTATGGAAGGGAGTTAATCTTTCCTGAGAAAGACAATCTAGAAAAGTTTCTTTCCAGATTGTAAGATACCTATAATTCCACCTGCAATACACAGAGAAAAGGTGCTGGTTGCTATCCATTTGAAGGACAAAAACATCAAAAGTAACATTACAAAAATAACGATCACATTGATTGTACTATCACTAACAATAGCATTCAACTCTGGCTTCCATTAAATAACTATATTAAATGGGGCTTATTCTTGGAAGGTGTTCACAGAATTACAGCTAGGTAAAATAGCCAACCAGAAGACCAAGAGATGCAGAGTTGGTGCTGAAAGCAGAATCTGCCCTGCCTATTGATTAGAAGCTTTATTCAGCTACCTTTTCCTTTTTGAAGTACTGTATCTATATTTTCTTTGTAACCATAAAGGCTAGAAACTTGCTTTTTAGAATGAAAGATGATTCTCAGGGCTTTGAAGGGTCTAGAGGCAATATTCCTTATCACACAATAGAAATGACAGCCATGCAAATTTCTAAACCCTACTGGTAAATCATACTTTGCTTCTGACCAGGTTCTAGTTTGCCCTTTATATTTGCTTCTTTCAATCCTATTTTGCCTTGGAGGAAGCAGAGATACCTGTTTCCTTAATATTTAGGTTCCTGTTGATTCGGAGTTTTAGGTGGTGAGGATAGTTCCACATCACAGTAGCTAAAACCGTATTTACCCAGCAGGATTTTCTGAGAAATGTCAGTTAACTGTGATTCATAAGCATTGACAGAATTCTGTGTGTTCTTCTCCAGAGATTTATGCAAGAGTTCTTTCATCCTCTTGTTTTCTTTGGTGGTTGATTCCCAAATTATTTCAAGTTCACCTTCTATTTCTCTAAGAAGAAAGAAAAAGAAAAAAGATATACTAGTTTTGCATGCTCCCCTCACTCCATGTTCAGCAGTACCTTGGAAGTGAACGATCAATCAGTATAGTCAGAACAATTACATTAATTTTAGTATCTTGCCTGATGGTGAAGGAACACCGTGTGCTCTGAACAAGAATGATTAAAGGATCTCTAAGCTAATGTTCAATAAAATGTACTCATATCTCCATCCTGTTATCTGTAGGTAGTTCTGAAAACATCACAAAGAATTATCTTAACTTTCTTATCTCTTATTAATAACATCATGGATCAATGCATGAGCAACAGTAAGGATTCTCTGTATAGTTCAATTTTTTTTAAATGGCCAGTTTTCTAGGTGTAACTCTAAATCTGTTGAAGTTCCAGCTGTCTGAGATACACCCAGCTTCCAACTTGTGATGTCTAAATGTATTGAATTATGGGAGTTGTATCTCAACAGATCTGGAGACCACCAGTTTGGGAGAAGGCGAGCTATATTGTCTTAACCCATGTATGCAAAGACAGTAGGAATTTTTTCTGTTAAAACTCTCACTATAAATAGGATTGCACTGATTATCAACATTCAGCGATGTTATATAAATAATATAAAATAATCCTTGTTGGAGCAGGTTAAATATTCATCTGTCTCCTCCCATCAGAGATGTTACTGATGAAGGCAGGGAAGAAGCATGGGAACTGATGGGAAAGATACTTCAAATGTTGATCATTTCAGCTAGGCTTTCCCACATCTTTTCCGGCTTTGTAATTTCCTTTTTGAGATAGAAACTCATTCTATACAGGGCTTTGAAATTATTTAATATAGCTACTCATTGCTACATACCCAGATAGGTCAGAGACAGAACAAATGACTTTACTACTGGTTTATCAATTTCCTTATGTATCAAAGGAGGTTGCAAAATTCTGCTTTGTTGAAAAAATCTGAAAAATCTTAATTTTTGTATTTATTATTTTTCTCTTAAACTATTATGCTTTTTTCTCAGTGTATGAATGTGGCTTTTATTTTTAAAGGTGATCTTTGATCATAAATACAATTTGACTTGTTGATTTAGATGGACCCCAAATCAGAATTCCTCAATAGGATTCAGTGTTGGCTTCACCTTATAATCTCTACAAAGTTTATTTCTAATTTCGATTATAAGGTCACCCAACTCTTGACTGACTTTGAATTGCAAACAGATGCAATATCTAAAAACAAAATAAAAAGTAGAATGGGAGATCACACATACTCTAACCGAAACAGACCCTGCACACCAGAAGGCCCTCCCACCCTCTGGTAGCACAGAACTAGTTGGTCATCCTAGTGAATGAGTGTCCTTGTTCATGTGGCACACACAGTTCAGGGTGCTCCAATAATTATCAGCCACTTCT